AGGGAATCCTTCTCTCCCTGCCTGTGTTCTGTCCTCCATATGGGAATCTGATGACCAAGGAAAATGTGGTTCCTAGAGCCCCAGTACCAGGATCACAGAGGGAGGAAAGAAGGGTGAGTTTGGAGCTGAGATGCTGAGACACTAGTTTGACAACTGGTACCTGGCACAAGAGCATTTGGTTGTCCTCTTCTTTTCTACAGATTCAGAGCATTTATGACACTTGTCTAGGGCTCCACTTAACCACGGCACAACGACTAGCAGACAGAGGTGTGTAGAAACTTGATGTTGATTAAAATGTTCATCCAAAGTCAGAAAACTGTTTTCTTTGGCAGAGAATTTTATAGATACAGTAGCTTCCTATCCTTCTTGTGTGTGAAATACACATATTCCAAGACTCAGATCATGAATGGTGCTGAATTCTATATATACCACCTTTTTTTCTGTACATACTGTGAAAAAGCTTAATTTATAAATTAAATACAGTAAGAGATTAAATAATAAATAAACAAATAATAATTAGAACAATCAACACGTAATAAAGTTATTTAAAACTTATGATTATTTCTGGAAATCTCCCTCTAATATTTCTAGACTGAAATTGATTTGTGGGTACATGAAACCATGGAAGGCTAATCTGTAAGTGAGGAGGCTCTACTATAGTAGACATATTTAGATGAGACATTTTCAAACTTTTGGCTTGTTGAGGTCATACTAATTACAGTAATTTGTGTGACTTAATTACCAAGCTATAGAATTATGATTATGCATGCTAATATTAAGGGTGAGATCAACTTTGTTGTTATATCTTAGTTATAACACCAAGCCCTTGGACACATGTATGCTGTCTTCATGGCTTGTTCATCTGATGTGTCCATCCGTAGACACAAGACTCCAAGAGTATATGGTAGAAACATAAGGTCCTACTGGAGACAAGCAATGAAAACCAATAGAGCAACTATGGAAAACATCCTCAAGTGAAAGTCGAGTGATCTCAGACCATAATCTTCATCACCAGATTTCTGTTTTCCTGGAATATCAGAAATGATATTTTTAACATTTAGAAATGGGAAGAAAGGAGCTAAAGGTGTAGGGAAGGTGGGACGGGTACGGGAAGGATAATAAAGGAAAAGAAAAAAAGTGAGACAATGAAAAGATGGAAATAAAGTGTTTGTAGATGGGGAGGGGAGGAGGGGGTGAAGGGAGGGCAGGGACAAGGGGATTAAATGAGAACCGAGACTTGTCATGTAGAGGTACAAATTCCCAACAATGAATGTAACTGTACTGTATCCCTAAAATGTACCAATAAACTCAATTAAAGCTGAAAAAAAAAGAAATGATATTTTTACATGGCTTAGGATGACTTTAAAACATTGGCACAGTCTGTGGAATACTGAGTTTCAGTCCTGCTATTATGAAGATGACCTTGAGTAAATTCCTGTATTGTGTTCCTCCACGGGGATTTAAATATTCAGTTATTCATGAACTAACTATACATGGAGTGCCTATCATGTGCCCAGCACTGCTGTAAGAACTAGGAACCAATGAATCCCTCTATCCTTAAGGAATTCTACATTTCAGTAGAGGAATGCAGAAAATAAACACATAAATATAGAAAATGTTAGGTGGTAGTAAATAACATAGGATAAAGGTACAATAGAGTGGAGAACGATTGGGGTAATTTTTGTAGAATGGAGATACCTTGTCTAAAGGAAGGAGGGAACATGTGGATATCCGGAGAAGCTTTAAAACAGCAGCAGCGCGTGGAAGTGCGAGGACCTTGTGGTCGAACACGCTTAGTGAGAACAGTGAGACAAGAGGAGCGTGATAAGAGAGGAGGTTGGGAGCTGCGGGAAGGAGAGCTAGAAGTGGGACTAGGAACTAGGAGTACGAAGTGTAGATCTGATGCAATCCGGAGAGTCAGTATTCTGGATGAAGAATAAACAGTGGAGCATCAGGAAGATATTACTGCGATCCGGGTCAAACATAACGGCTTGAGAAAGGGGGGTAGGGGTAGAGATGTTGAAAAGTGGAAGGGTTTAGAATAAGTTTCAAAGCACAAGCCAATGAAATTGCTGATGTTCAGTGAATGGAGAGCTACAGAGTGAGCCCAGAGCTTTGGCTTGAACAGCAGGACGAATGTCAATACTGATATAGGATCTCCAAATCATATAGAGGAGATACTGTAACTCCCAATCTGCTAGATGTCAGATATGCCAAAGTTGCGTTCCCTAAAATCAACTAATTCGAAGGAACAACAGAGGTTAAGAGCAGGAAATACTTACTGAGAGGGAGAGATTTTAGCCCCCGCGAGACAGGAGGAGGCCTGAGAGGGTTGCAGCAGACCCCACTTCATGGGGGAAGTTTTATAGAGCAAAATCAAAAGGTGGGTACAACGAGGAACAAAATTATGATCAACCAATAGGATGACATGTACACGTAGAAATTCCCTATGGTGAATGTTGTCATTATGTATATCTAAAATGTACCAATAAATGTTTTGCTTCAAAACATAAGATTATAGGTACAGTACAATATTACTATAGTATAGTAATAATGGTCCAATGGGGAAGCAAGTTATGTAGCATTTATATATGGAAAGAACATTTTTAGAAAAGGATGGATCCAGAGGTCTTGGTCACCCACCAAGGTGACTGATATCTATCTAGACCTTATTGGGTCAAATGTTACCACTTATCTCATCCCTGGGGGAAGTATGTAGGTCTGGTCATTTAATCTTTACCTTGAGGGATGTCCTCCAACAGATGTGTTTCAGGCCACAGTTGTAATATAGTTTCATCTTTCACACTGATTATCTTGAGGGCTCAGCCCTATTTGACTGCCTATAATATTTTTTTTCAGCTTTAATTGAGTTTATTGGTACATTTTAGGGATACAGTACAGTTACATTCATTGTTGGGATCTTGTACCTCTACATGACAAGTCTTAATTCTCATTTTTTCCCCTTACCTCTGCCCTCCCTATAATATTTCTACCTAACTTAGCTGTCTGTAATAATACTGTACTAGGAAACCAGTGATCATGGTAACCTGCTGTGAAATAATGAAGCGATGCAATAACTAAGATTGAAAGGAAATTAGCCCCATGTTGGCCCAAGTCAGAGGCCATCCTTTCTGATCCTTCCTACCCCTCGTAACACTCCTTACCCACCTTTATGCTCTGAATGAGTTAATTCACTACCACCACCCCCGCCCTCTTCCCAGGTTAATATTTGGTCAAAACAGTTCTACTACAGTGAGAGTTTCAACCAATGATACTCCAGAAACCCCCCAAAAGATTTGATAAGGATAGATAAATCGCATTTTAAAATAAAAGAGAAACATTTAATACTAAAGTAATATACATGCCAACCCTGCTAACACTTCGAAGTACCAAATTGCTCCTTAAATTTTTCCCTGTTTTTTTTTTTTTCTCATTGAGTTTATTGGTACATTTTAGGTATACAGTACAGTTATATTCATTATTGGGATCTTGTACCTTTACTTGACAGGTCTTGGTTCTCATTTTTTCCCCTTGTCCCTGCCCTCCCTTCACCCCCTTTCCCTGTTTTTAATAGAAATATTGTGATCAGTAAAATGCAATATTTTATAAGAATTTTTCTTAGAATTTCTGAAAAAAGCTAAAAACTGAAAAGTTTTTTAAAAATCCCTAGAAACACTTATTGAATATGTGTTTCTTGGCAAAATTTCCTACTTGATTTTATTCTTTTGTCTAAAATTTTGAAGCGTAATACTAAAGGAAAATAAGTAATGTAAATGTATTTTAGCAACGTTTTATCCAGTGCCAACCTGAAAAATAACCAACATGTAAATAGATTCATCCAGTTCAGTTCTTCAAAATTCTTTATTGCAGACTCATTTGAAATGTCAATATTCAGTTCACATATTTCTATGCTCTTAAGAATCATCAGCATTTAATTTATGAGTGTTTTTAGATGGAAAGATTCTACTACTTAAGATTCTGTTCAGTCCCCTTGGTCTGAGTTGTGGAATACTTATGTCTTGTGGGGTTTTTTCCAAAGTTCTTCTCTATGCTTAATTTCACATAATTAATCTAATCTTTAATCCAAAGTAGAGGGCAGTTCCCACCACTTCCCCGTTCCAGCACAGGGTCAATAAAATAGAGAATGACAGAGCTGAGGGTCAGATTTGTTACATTGTCCCATCCTTGCTATTCTGCCCCCAAGCAGCATCTAATACGTGTTTGACTTTAGATAACATTAAGAACTGAGTATACTGTCTCTTAAAAAATGAACCCCACAGCAGCCAAGGAGCAGCTGACAGCCCATTGCTGGTAAGAAGCTCACCAGAACAGACCAATTTACCTTCAAGGAGTGTATGTGTTCATTGCATTGTGTGGGTGTGTTCATTAGATTACTCAATTGTAGAAAGACAGAGCACTCAGCTTTGCCAAAGATGCAAACGAGCAAAGAAGGACTCCTCTCTGTAGCTTGGCAAGCAGGAGCATTGGCAGGAGCAATAAAACCCTTGTCAGTGTCTTAGATTTGTTACTCATAGCTCTTAATACTAAATTATAGTGTGACAGGAACATTTTCAGGTTCCCAAAGGTACACAGTGTAAAGCAAATATCTGAGAAAATATGCCAATATTTAGTATAAAATGCAGCAAAGTAATGGGTACTGGCTGTGAGAAGACAGAATTGACTATAAAGTCTTGTTCATGTGTTTCCAAGTATAATTTTCTAACTCATGACCAGAGAATCGTTTACCTTCAGGAAGGATATACTTCTCATTTTTCATTATTCAACTGTCTACTGCTTTTCTTTATGTTTAACCCTTCAAGAACTGTTTTCAAAGCAAGTAGCAATATCTACCCAGGTCTCATATCATGAAATTAGTAAGAGTAGTTATTAAGAGTTTTGAGTCTACTTATACTGAGTCCACTTTCCAGCTGAGATAGTGCTACCCTCTGACTTTCAGGGAAAAGAAAACTAGCTTTGACCTGTCTGTTTTTCAATTTCAGGGATAGTTGCTGTTCTCTTCTGTGGAGTTACACAGGCACATTATACCTACAACAATCTTTCATCAGATTCCAAAACGAGGACTAAACAGGTAAAATAAAACTCACTACAAATTTAGTTTCTTCTTTAGTGTAATGTTTATGTAGCAATTCTGCCAGTGCACTCAGAAAGAATTTCATTAGTAAAGGAAGAAAGTAAGCTTAAGGCTTCATTATGGGTTGGATAGTTATAGATTTTTTTCCCCTCCAGAATAACCATTAACAATTCTCTTGGTAAGCAAAGATATCGTTATAATAGTCTCTTCCTCCTGAGAGATGTGGTACACAGACTGTCAGTCTCAAAGATGAAAGGCCTATATTCAGTAATAATTCACAGTCACTTACATATAAAAGCATTATAAAGCGTGTGAGATTGGGTAGTTATGAGAAAGAAGGAAATGAAGAAGAATATGGAGGTGATGCTTGGTCTTTAATTGAGTGCTTTGTGCTTCCAAGCAAATCAACTGCATGCCAGTTGTCACACCAGCAGAAAATGTCTGTCTTATTCTGAAAACACATCTGCTTAGGTATTTGCAAAGGAACATATGCAGACTTCTTCATAAACATTTCTTATACAGCTGCTCTGTGCCAATCACTGTGCTAGGTACTAGGAATACAAAAATAGTATGAGTAGCTCTTTGAGAGATTCATTATCAAGTCCATTGATGAGGACAGAGATGTGTAATGAATGGGAATCCACAGTTTGATAAGTAGTGTGATAAGTACTATACTAAAAATAGCCATAACTATCTGAGGAATAGTTAGTAGGGCATCCTCCCCTGGTTAAGATTAGGAAAGTAAGGAGAAAGTTTCTAGAGATGATGCCTAGTCTGTAGCAAAAAATACAAATAGAAACAGCTAAATAGTTCTGTGTAGCTGTGGTGAATGAGGTAAGGTGGAACAAAATGGGATGCATCAAAGGAGGAAACCACAGATACGATCACATTTATGAAAGGACTTAGATACTTTGTGAAGAAATTTGACTTTATCATAAAGGTAATGAGGAGTAGCTTAAATAACAGTAATTTATTGTTTCACAGTTCTGGAATCCAGAAGACTGAAATGAAGCTGTTGTTAGGGTTAGTTCCATCTAAAATTTGTGAAGGAAAATCTGTACCTGCATCTCTTCTAGATTCAGGGGAAGGGGGGCTTCTGGAAATCTTTTGGATTTCCTGGCTTGCAGATACATTACCTTAATCTTTACCTTCAAGTTCACATGGCATTCCCCTGTCTAACTTCAGATTTCCCCTTTTTAGCTGGTATGGTAATCCCAGCACTCGGGATGCTGAGGCAGGAGGATCATGATGAATTTGAGACCAGCCTGGGTTACGTATTGAATTCAAGGTCAGCCTAAACTACATAGCAAGATCTTGTCTCATCCCCCAACCAAAAAACTCTTTTTTTTATATTTAAGGAATTTGATTTCTGTATTGGACATTTTGCAAGACTAAATAGTATTTATCATTTTTCTTCAGAATTTTTTTGTTTACATTGATAAGTACAGATATAGAGCATAATAAATTCAGAAGAAAATGGCTAAAAACTCCAAGATAGCTGTCTTATCAAGACAGCTATCATAATGAGTTAGGGGCCCACTCTTTTCCAATATGACTTTGTCTAAACTAATTATATTTTCAATGCCCATACTTCCCAATAACGTCACATTCTTAGACACTGAAGATTAGGTCTTCAGAATTTGAATTTTGGGAAACCCAGTTCATCCCCAACAGGACATTATTGAAGAGCCTCAGGCAGAATAATTTAAGATAATTAAAGTTCCACTTTATAAACTTCAACCTGGAAAATATGAAAAACATGGATGAAAGATACTTTATTGGATAGATTTTGCTGTATAACAACCTAGGGACATCGAACAATAAACATTCACTTATCTCTTATTTGCAAGAATCAGCCATTTGTAACTGGGTTGGGCCTAGTGGTTTTGCTTGTACCACTATTCAGATGCTTGTGGGTTAGCGGGGGCTCTATTCCATGCTCAACTTGGCTGGGGCATCTTGCCATTGCTATGTGCTTGTCATCCTTCTCCTGGCAGAACAAGACCCAGTGTTGAAGCACATCCATTTAAATTGTTTGCCTATATCATATCTCCTAAAATTTCTACTGGCCAAAGTCTAGAGGCTCAGTCATAAGTCAAGTGACAGGATGTGTGAATATAGGAAATGACAAAGAACGGACTAAGGATGTGATCTGTCCCAAATGCAGATGAAGGCTAAGAAGCTCCTATAACAAAAACTGATGATGCCAAAGACTTCTTTTTTCCTCATTGAGTTTATTGGTACATTTTAGGTATGCAGTACAGTTACATTCATAATTGGGATCTTGTACCTTTACATGACAGGTGTTGGTTTTCATTTTTTCTGATTGTCCCTGCCCTCCCTTCACACCCTCCTACCCTCCTCCTTTACAAACATTTTATTTCCATTTTTTCATTTTCTCCTATTTTTTACCCTTATTTCCTTTCCCCTACCCTTCCCACTTTCCCTACACCTTTAGCCCTTTCTTCGTATTTCACATTGTCAGTTATCTCATTAGGATCTTATGTACTATTATAGTTTGTTCACACCAGAGAAACTATTCGGTATTTACACATGTGTGACTTATTTATTTCACTTAGGAGTATATCCTCAATATGTATCTATTTTCCTATGAATGACTCTAATTTCTCATTCTTTATGGCTGAGTAGTATTCTATTTTATAGAAAAACCACATCTTCCCTATCCAGTCTCCAACTGATGGGCAAATGAGCTGTTTCCAAGTTTTAGCTATTACAAACTGTGCTGCTATAAATATTGGTGTGCATATATCACTGTGGTATGATTCTTTTAATTCTTTTGGAAAGATACCCAGCAGAAGGATAGCTGGGTCAAATGGAACCTCCAGTCCAAGATCTTTGAGGTATCTCCATATTGATTTCCATAGTGGTGGCACCAGTCTGCACTCCCACCAACAATGGAGAAGGGTTCCTTTCTCCCCACAACCCTGCCAACATTTGTTATTGAGTAATTTCTTGATAGCAGCTATTCTTTGTGGGGTGAGGTGGAATCTCAGTATTATTTTCATCTGCATCTCTTGAATGACCAGTGATGTGGAACATTTTTTCATATATTTGCTTGCTGCTTTTACTTCTTTGTCTGAGAAATGTCTATTCATTTCAGATGCCCATTTTTGAATCAGGTCTTTATATTTGGGGGGGCTGATTGTTTTGAGTTTTTTTATATATTCTAGATAATAGTCCTTTGTCTGAGGAGCAGCTGGTAAAATTTTTTTCCCACATGATAGGTTGTCTCTTAGTTCTTTTGATGGTTTCTTTTGCAGTGCAGAAGCTTTTTAATAAGATGAGATCCCAGTTGTTGATTCTTTCTACTAATTCCCATGCTACTGAGGATTTGTTCATAAAGTCTTTTCCTACGCCAATGTCTTCAAGAGTTCTTCCTAACTTATTTTCCAGCAAATTTAGTGACTTTTTTAATATTTAGTTCTTTAATCCACTTGGATTTTAGTGGAAAGATAAGGGTTTAGTTTTAATCTTTCGCAGATTGAAATCCAGTTTTTCAAACACCATTTATTAAAGAGGCTATTTTGCCTCCAGTGAGGATGGTTGGCTCCTTTATCAAAGATGATGCAGCTGAGTACATCTGGAGTTGTTTTTGTGTCTTCCAATCTGTTTCACTTATCCTCAGGTCTGTGTCTTTGCCAGTACCATGCTGTTTTATCACAGTGGCTTTGTGGTATAGTTTCAAATTGGGAATTGTTATACCCGCTGCCATGCCTAGGATGGCTTTTGCTCTTCTAGGTCTGTTATGGTTCCAAATGAATATCTCGATTCTTTTTTCTAGTTCTGTGAAATATAGTGTTGGAATTTCCATTGGCATTGCATTGAATCTGTATAGCAGTTTTGGTAGTATGGCCATTTTCACTATGTTGATTCTTCCTACCCAGGAGCAGGGGATATCTTTCCATTTCCTTATATCCTCTTCAATCTCTTTTTTCAGAGTGCTGTAGTTTTCAGTGTAGAAGTCTTTTGCTTCTTTTGTTAGACTGATTCCTAGATACTTCATTTTGTTGGATGCTATTGTGAAAGGAATTGTTTCCCTAGTTTCTCTCTCAGTGAGTGAAAACTTCTGATGCAATATTGGGGTAGTGATATTAGAGGGAAAAAACTGATATCCAAGAAAGACCTATAATTGGCCAGGAATTTCTCAAGAGGAGATCTTTAAATCTTGCTGTAAAGTTCTCCCCAATTGGCTCACACTTTTATCCCTCTCTCTTGGTTATGTTCGGAGCTCAGCTGATCCTAACTCTGCCTCCGCCTGTCTAGGTCTCTGCAAGACCAACACTCCATTTTCCTTATCACTTTGAATGCTTCAGAGGAATCACAAAATGCAGTTACAGAAAATTTGAGTGCCCTTGAGTAAAACAAAAAATAAACAAGATTCTAATACCAATATCCAGAAACCTCTAATTCATAGTCTTCCCAAGAAACTTTTAATTATGAAAATGACTAGCATTCTCCAGGGCTTAAAAGAAAATATTTTGGTCTGAGTTTTCCTAATCTCTTTTGATTCTCAGAGTATTTATATTCTTAGAAGTTGAACCCTGTTTAAGGACTTGTACCTTTAAGTCATGTTATGTGGACTGCTCAACAGAATTTCAAAGATAGCGTGTCTCATGGTGAGACAGCAGCCCAGCACCTAGGGGAAACAGGGCCATAATCAGTGCTCCAAAGCCTTCTGTTCTGTATGTGAATGGTTTGACAAGTACTCCCTGATGGCTTCCAGAATCCATTTTGCAGCACCATCCTTTAAGGAAGGAGATCTTTTCACAAGTTCATTCTTTAACATCCAGATAACTGCATACCTTAAGTCCTATTTCCTCTACTACCTTCTTTTCTGGATGCCTAGATCACAGTAGGAGCTTAATAAATGACAGGTCCCTTCTATTTCCTTCTCTGCAGTTACTCATTCTTTTCTTTCTCTCAGGATCAATCATTTTCTATTTATTGTTCTCTCATTATGCATGCACATATAGCAT